TTTTTTCTTTATATAGTGAATATAGAAGACTGCATCTGGACAGTGTGTGTCCAAAAATGTGCAGCATTCATTGGATATATCTTTACCTTTGTTCTACAGGGTTCTTAAAAGTTCCAAATATGGAAGCCCAGAATATTGAACTAGACTCCCTTAATGTGACTGTGAATTGGGTGTTTTAACTGGCTGATGAGAATACATAAATGAAGGTTTATAAAAACTATGTAGACGACTTCTACATTAAGATAAAAAAGAAAAGTAAAGATGGCATATTCTTATGTGTAATGTGAAGCAGATTGTAGTAGGAACATTGGATATATTAGGCCACAGTATAATTTTCTAACACTGATGAGAGGGTAAACATCTTAAAATGCCTTTTTTTCCACATAGCACTTACTATGTGAAACTATTTCCTTCCAAGATCTACATTATATGTTTGGGACCCCCTTTTTTTTCCTGTCATGGTCTCAGTTTATGGTATATTATGAGCACAACAAAGATGGATATGTGACTTGCTTGCTTTAAATCATAGCAATAAATTCATACATATAGTGGGGACACTGACTTTTTTTCTACCATTTTGAGAGGTATTGTTGGTTTAACCAATATTCTCTATTTGAGTCTGAAAAAATCCTAGGGACTTCAGTGAACATGATTTAAGGCATTTAATTTCAAAGAACGCTTTTCAAGCTGATGTAATCTTCCCTTCAAAAAGAAAGGAACATTTCAAGTGTATTCACTGCCCTCTCCCCTTGAACTGTGAGTGCCTTATTCCTATTAATGATATGCAAAAACAAATGGGAAAATTTATAACCATGAGACCCAAACCTAGTGACACCAATGGCAACCAGCTAGGAGTCTGGGGAATGCATCTAAATTATACACAAATTAAAATAACCACAAGATATGTGCCTAATCGTATTGAAGGTGGCACAGAAGACCACCATGCAGTCTCTCACTATGTGCAGAGGAATCCATTGTACTGGCAAAATACTCCAGTGGTGATGTCTGATGGCTTTAAGGCACATTTCTGATGGAAAACTGACAAAATGCCATGCTAAAAAAATCAGATAATTTTGTACATTTATAGACAGACAGTAGAATTCTGCTTATCTGACCCTCCATTTCAAACTCAGTCTATACAGGTCAAAAAAATGGTGATTTCTCTTGTGGCCACTAGAAAGCTCTGCAACCTCACTCCTTCCCATTTTCCAGATTATCTGAATTTTTTATTATCTAATCCCTCCCTGGTCCCAGTGAGAGGGGATAAATGTGGTTCATAGTATATACGATGATTGCTAAAACATATCGAGACCCCCCCCACCTCACAATGGAGTTGTAAAGATTAACTAAATCAGTGTTGTATGGAATTTGGTGCCTGCTGTAGTGGGTTTTTCAAACACATTTAGAATCTCATTGAAGTCACTGAGGCTGCGTCTAGATTGGCATGATTTTCCATAAATGCTTTTAACGGAAAAGTTTTCCGTTAAAAGCATTTTCGGAACAGCGTGTCTAGATTGGCATGGACGCTTTTTTGCAAAAGCACTTTTTGCGGAAAAGCGTCCGTGCCAATCTAGACACGCTTTTCCGCAAAAAAGCCCCGATCGCCATTTTTGCGATTGGGGCTTTTTTGCGGAAAACAAATCTGAGCTCTCTACATTGGTCCTTTTGCGCATTTCTCAATAGATACAGAAGGAGTGAAATTGGGTAAGAAAAAAATCCTCCAAAATGAAACAGAATTTAAGAGCCATCTGGATCCATAGGTTTACATGACAATTAACAAATGCCATTTTTGTTCATTCTCCTTTACAAGAAGACAATTCAAATATCCTACAATGGACATCCAAAAATCACACTGCAGGAAGTCTTTCTTTAGAAATGCTTAAATCTTTAGCAGCTTTCTCTAACTCTGCAATGTAAAATAAAAATGATCTTAATGAATGCTAACTATTCTTAATGTATATTTCTAGCCTATGCACAAACATGCACCTAAATCTCTTGGCAGTTTGGGGCAGATCAATATATTGCACAATTAGGAATCTACCGCACTTGCAAGCCATGTAGCAATGCCATGCATAAACCAATAAAGTTTGGTAGTAGATTTGTAAAGAAGTTTTTAGAGCCTTCTCTTGCTGTTTCTGATTTCACCAAAATTTGTCATTCAGCAGTCTAATCCTTGTGAGTTTCACTCGTGCCTATGCTAGTTTTAGGGTGACCACCCATACTGAACTGCACTGGACAACCCCAAAATGAACATGCCCAGTCCTGATCCTGGGCTGAATGACTCCAGGGCAGAATGTACTCCTTGAGTGTTTTGTTCTTGCTGAAGCTCCAGGACAGTGCTAGCCTCTTCTCAGTGTGAAAAGGGGACTGAGGTGGCCCTCATATCCCCCTGTCCATGAGGTGCACCCCGCTCTTTCTCTTCTCTTCCTCCCTGGTCAGGACAGAAACTGGAGCCAGGAAGTGACATGAGCCAACTAGGAGTCCTGTGCCTCTCTGAGGGCTGGGGAGGAAGAAGTGTCCTGGATTATCCACCTGCCCTGGGTAGCATACCCAAGGGAGCAGGCATATGGGTTTATAGCTGCTGTCAGACACCCCAGCATGCTGCCCAGGACCAGTGGAGAGGGGTTCCCCACAGAAGCCTGAGCTCCCTGGACAGCTCTTACCACTGCCTGGTTCTGTCTTTTGGCTTAGCTAGGAAGCAGAGCCCCAAGGGGAATAGGACCAGCATGAGGCAGGTCCATGGAGGGGAATTTTGCATTTTAAAAGGTGGCCACTCTAGCTGACTAGCAGAGCAAAAGAAGAAAGTCCTCAGGAAGAGTGGGACAGGTCTCTGTTACGTGACTACACTGACTATGCTCTAGCTCCAGTTTTCTGCTTTGTTTCAATAACCATAATTGTATATGCATGTTTTGCCTTGGTTATCGTTGCTGATTTGTATACTAAAAGAGAAAATCTGCATTTCTCAATAGATACAGAAGGAGTGAAATTGGGTAAGAAAAAAATCCTCCAAAATGAAACAGAATTTAAGAGCCATCTGGATCCATAGGTTTACATGACAATTAACAAATGCCATTTTTGTTCATTCTCCTTTACAAGAAGACAATTCAAATATCCTACAATGGACATCCGAAAATCACACTGCAGGAAGTCTTTCTTTAGAAATGCTTAAATCTTTAGCAGCTTTCTCTAACTCTGCAATGTAAAATAACCTAGAGAATCTAGGCACTGGCTTAACCTGAGTTAATTTAGTTAATTTGGGCCCCACATTAGCAGTTCTAAGTACTCTCCTTACTTTCTCAGGCACATGTTGTGGGCACTTCATACCCATCTAAATTAAATATTTAAATTAAATCTGCTTGTGAGTGTAGCTATGAACCAAGAATAAAAAGATCAGGAGTAATCCTGGGCTAGTCTAAGAAGCCAGAAATGAGAGGGGTACCAAAACACACCAGTTGAAAATAAAGCAGTTTAGGGTTTATTCAGAACCTTAGTGATGTGAACGCTACAGTTCAACTACTTGCATGAACGTGCATAGACAGCCCAATCCGCCTCCCATTAAATCAGTTGCTTAACTCCCACTGATGAGAACAGGAGTAGATTCAGGCCTGTAATTAAGACAAGGTGGGGTGGAGGTTATTTGTTGGGTGGTGTTGCTTTTGCACACATGCGCTGTAGTTACTTGAAGCCAAATCATGCAGACCTTATTCAGGCATTTGCCTGATCAAGGACTGGGTATGGATGGCAATATTTGTCCCTAGATTTTTAATCAATAACATCAAAAACTGTTAGATATAAATATACAGAACAGCTTATTCCTAGTTTAAAAGTAAAGAGGCTCACAGATTTCTCAGCAAAATTAAGTGGAGAGAGTATCAGTGTAATGGTTAAAACCATTCTACAGAAGCTTGATACTAATTGCTGCAGTCTACCTTAACGACTCAGTGAATGTTGGACACGCACATCCATGTAGTTGTTCACAGGGATGTTGTAGTGTTTTGGCTATTTGGCTGCCAGAAATGAGATCATCACCATTCAAGGACATTTCCACAGAAATGAAGCATCTGTCAAGCAGGACTTCAGTGTACTGACTATAAAAAGATGTAAATGAGTCGGCTAGCTACAAGCTTTAATGTTATAGTCTTGTAGACTTTATTATAAGCATCACAATTCAAAAGGGCTTTTACATCTTATCCTTTTATGAGACATTACTTGTGTATTATTTTATAGATTTGATAACTGATGTAAAAATATGGATACTTCTAAGAAGTCTCACCTCAAAGACATCCCTAGTTTCAGTGATAGATCAGAAAAGCTCAGGAAGTGAGAGGTCAAAGGCTGGTAATAGAATTATGAAGACGCAGGAATAATAGAACATTTTCCTAATCTGAGGTTTACCTCTATCACCCTGCCTCCACATTTTCAGCAGCTTTTTTCAGTTAAGCCTCATAGTGGACAACAAAACCTTTTGCAGCACAAGTATGAATGGCTGTTTCAAGATTAGTGACATGACATGAAATAGCACAGGTGAAAAATAAATACAAAAGCTGCTCATCCATGCAGAGGTAGAAAAAAAGCAACACAAAGCCCATTTTGGACAAATGTATATGGTTACTGTGATTCTTTTAGAAAATTCCTGACTATAGCTTATTATCCCTCCTTCCCCTTCAGTGCTAAATTCATTTCTGGGTGTCCTCAAGGAATACTGTGATGTTATAAATGTAAATGAGCCTCATTTCAATATGCTGTAATGAAATTTTTGACAAGCTGCAAAACTCACACCTAAATGCACAATGTCCCAAAGCACCAACTCTCTGAGTAGCACTGAAGATCAGTGGACCTATGAAAACTCTGAGAAAATCTGTCAACACATTGGCTGAAACAAGAGGTCACTAATTGTTTAATTGCCATAATGTATATATTTTGGAACAACAAAAAGAGAGAGAGGAACATACACCTACATTGTCAAATATAAGTTTATGAAGTCAAGATGTCTTACTCACCTTCACCCACTTGAAACTTGTTGCCAATTTATGTAACATATTCCACCCATTTGAATGGCCACTTAATAAGTCTGTGTTGACAATGCCGATTTAAGTTTTGTGCTGCCGCTTATCCGATATCTCAGCTTTTGCTGTAAAGAATGAAAGGTTCACTTGAAACCAAAAACAACATTATAAAAGGGGAAAAAACAAAACAAACATGCCCCCTGACTTTTAAGTTACTCCCAAAGCCCAATGGGATTTCAGAGAAAGTTGAATATCTACAGGCCAGGGTTAGAATTTACAAGTAACGTTTACCCATACAGACCTATACAAACTCTATGGTCCAGATTTCTATTGTCAGACACCATCTGTGATCTGGCATCCCTGTACAGGCTACGTCTACACTGGCCCCTTTTCCGGAAGGGGCATGTTAATTTCAGAGATCGCAATAGGGAAATCCGCGGGGGATTTAAATATCCCCCGCGGCATTTAAATAAAAATGTCCGCCGCTTTTTTCCGGCTTCTAGAAAAGCCGGAAAAGAGCGTCTACACTGGCCCCGTTTCCGGAAGGGGCATGTTAATTTCAGAGATCGCAATAGGGAAATCCGCGGGGGATTTAAATATCCCCCGCGGATTTCCCTATTGCGATCTCTGAAATTAACATGCCCCTTCCGGAAAAGGGGCCAGTGTAGACGTAGGCAGCGGGTATTCCTGGGCTGGTACTCAGTGACTCCTCTGTGCCATCCCAAAGCTTCTAATGCCCTGCAAGCTCAGGGAGGGAAGAGGAAGATAGAGAAGCCGTGTGGGGGATTCTCAAGGCAAAGGCAGGGTGGCTGCGGAGCCCTGTAGAAGGGAGCCAAGAGTGCAGCTCTGTAGCTGGTGGCGGGAGCTAGGAGCAACTGCCCGGCTGCCACAGGGTTTGGTATGCTCCCATGGGGCTGAACTCCTGGGGCTCCATATCTACTCTGCCTGTTCCCCCAAGTGTCACTCCATTTCAATTAATGGTGGCCCCTCTACTGCCTCTGGAGTGGAGCCATGAAGCCTATTGCAGCAGAGGCACTATCATTGACCTCCCCTGGTCTGGCAAATGCCCTGCTTTGGGCCCAGTCATTTCCTAAGGGTGCCAGGACAGAGAGGTTCTACCTGTATTGGAAGAATGTTCCCATAATTAAAGTGCTGGAGGCAATGTCAATATCCCTTCTTATCTCCTCTCTTCCTCCTAGACAACTAGATTCTCATGAAACAAAATGTCTGGGAACATTTTCCAGAGCAAGAGACATGGTAGAAAAAAAATAAAACTAAAAACAGCTACAGTCACACCATCAGCCAACAATATATGCTTCCGGCATTTCGAAGTGGTCTAAGGCCTTCTAAAAATCAGATATTTTAGTATCATGACAGAATAAGGAAAAGAGGAACAGCATCTAGAATATTCAGGCTAAGTGGCCATGATAAGGGTTACAGTTATATAGGGAATTAAAAACATTGGCTGGGGTGGCTTTGGTTTTTGGCAGATAAATGGAATACACCGTTAGTTGGGTTCTTGGTCATGGGAAGGTTCCTTCATATGACAAGAAAGATTACTTTATTTTCATCCCTACAAACAATGTTATTTTAGAATGTGTACATTGTAAAGTGTGTATTTCATTTTTGCCCACTTTCCACAGCTAGAGGCTATCTTCTTCATGCTTCTATATACTTAGGCTTGACAAAATCCAACTGTTACTATTTTATGAATTTAACAAATAATGTTCATGTTTATTTTTAAGATTTCCTCCCCACTTTTGTTTATTTAAATGATCACAGTTCCAGGAAATGACATCAAGCTGTAGTTTTCCTACTTTGCCTATCTTTACAATGATGATTATTGATGTTTGCTGGTTTGTGTATGTCTACTGTGAAATCCATGTTTACTAACATTTTAAAAACCCTTATCTTTCCAAGCCTATTGCATACAAACACATATAGATGGAAGCATAGCCTGGCATATAAGACCAGCTATTTTCAGTTACTTCCCTTCCCTTATATTTGTAAGGAACAGTACTAAAGTAAACAGTAAAGAACATGAAAAATCCCAAGTACTAACACTTAGAAACTAAGGGCACGTCTAGACTGCAAGCTTCTTTCGAAAGAAGCTTTTTTGGAAGACATCTTCTGAAAAAATTTCTTTCAAAAGAGAACGTCCACACAGCAAAAGCGCATCGAAAAACCGATCTGATTTTTCAAAAGATAGTGTCCATTCAGAGTGGACGCTCTCTCGCATTTAAGCTGTGATTACTATAGACAGAGTAGCCACCAGGGCACCTGTGCTTTTTCCTGGAGGCCTCTTCTTTCAAAACAAAACCTCCTTCTTCAGCGTCCACACACGCCTTTTTCCAAAAGAACTCTTTCGAAAAAGGCGTTCTTCCTCAAAGAATGAGGTTTACCAATGTCAGAAAAACCCCTGCGTTCTTTTGATTTTCTTTGGAAAGAATGCAATAGCATTGTGAATGAAAGTGAAGGTTTTTTCAGAAAAAACTGCCTTTTTTCCGAAAAAATCCTGTAGTCTAGATGCACCTTAAGTTGAAGTAACAACAGTAACTAGGAATTAAAAAAACAAACATTTTCAGACCTAAACTATCCTAAAAGTGCTATAAAATTTATTCACAACAGATACATTCAGTCTCAGGCACCGAAAAGAGCCTTCAGGCTTTTTAGATGAATAATTGAATGAACATTCCAAAATGTTGCCCCACTTTTTTTCTCCTGGAAGGTGATACATCAGCTGTAGACACCAACCTTCTCCTAAGGGCACTCATCACATATGTTTTTTTCCTAATATTTCTTCTACTCCTTGGAAAGTTAAAATGCACCTCCCAGAGTCAGAGTGTGGAGCTTATAGTGTCAACCTCTAAACTTAGAGGTTTCACCTACTCATTCTGAGGTCCACAGTTGGCCTGGATTTTTGGGCCCATTAACTTGGGTAGAATCAACAGAGGTAAAATCGAGATTTGTGGTCTTGGAATATATCCAGTCACCTTTTGAGCACTAGCCGGAACTGCCTTGTATCATGCTATTTATGTCAAAGGAGCCACAACTTAATATTAAATTCAGTCATTTTTATGGTCCTTAATTTTTATGCAGTCTGGAAAATACTTAAGATTATGCATAGTCTATATCTTTCAAGTATATCAAATGATGAAATGAAACAAGATGACTGAGGATGACTACATTAAATCTCAATAGAGAGCTACTCATCTTCTCTGAAAAATGTATCAGAGCCCTGAATAGAATCTGTCATCAACAGAATTTGAATGCTGTCTTTATTCAGCAAGCAACTACAGTCTGATTCAGAACTATTCTGTATATTTATGGCTGTGTGCATACACCTGTTGATGGATAGCTACAGTATGCTGATTACTATCTACCGGGAGCAGATGAGAATAGAAGAGGCACTTTCTGAGATATTCAATAAAATAGCAGACAGTTTTAAACATGCTTTGATTTTTTTAAAATATTATTTGCCCCTTTCAGTGACACCTAAATTAAAATTATCAAAGCCTCATGATAGCACTGCACAATTATTATATATTAAACTACTGTAGTACTAAAATGGGGCTCCATGCTTGAAAGGGATCCAAGCAGAGCGTCCTTACACCCATGCAGAGTCCCACCGAAGTCAGTGAGACTCCACACTGATATCAATGTTCAAACACACAGACCGGTTGGTTGCATGAGGACCTTAAACAGGAATTAGATACAGCAACCACATTACAGAGAACAAGCTCATGATTATTACTCCATTATCCAGTGACTATTACTAAGAGATGATCAAAGGGTGTTGCTTATTATGTTCTCAGAACTTATGTTATGCATTTGGCAATAATTATTAAGTATTTTGGTGTGAGATAATAACTCTGTTATATCAGTGCAAGATGACTGTAATCAGTGGAATAGAGCAGATATAATTCAGGGAGACGAATGACCCCACATGTCCGCAACAACCTGGATTACTCAGAAGAAAACTAAGCTTCCATTTCTACATTAATACAATTTTCTGCTAGTATGGTCCAGACATTTTTTTTCTTTGTCTTTACAGACTTCAGTTTGCTAAACATTTAAATAATAAAACAAGTGTAATATAATCATGGGCCATTAATAGCTATTTCTTTATTTTGTGTAAATAATTTAAAAATGTTAATAATAACATGCCTGTACGGAGGACTCAGCATTAAAACTAAATGAAATGAATTGCTCACATGTGGCTTTTTCTTGGAATATTTTATATTAGCAATGAAATTAATACATTAGTTCAGGGCCTACATTTATCCTAAGATTGTGAGCAGTGCTGAGGAAGATGGCCTCTGTGTGCGCCAGACTTGGCTGGCTAAATGTTTCTCCATATTACACTGGCTGCTAATGGCCCAAAAGGATGATTGGGCAATCAGGGATCCCTGGAGTTTAGCCTTCTGTGCCAGCAGCATGGAAGAAGATGTGGGACAGTGGAGACAGCAGGGTCCCTCTATGATGAAATAAGTCTTTGACACATTTTCTGGACTTAAAACGAGGATAGAGTGGCACAAAGACAAGTCACACTTTATCCCAGGTTCTGGGCATAAGTATTCCATCTAGAGTGAAGCCAAACTATATGAGCAGTGGGCTACCTGTGGCCCATCAGGATGATTGGATTGTGAGAGGCAGCACATGATGTGCCTGAAGGCAAATGTTCAGGACATGCTGGCTGCTGCCCCCACAGTTCTCATTGGCCAGGAACAGGAACTGTAGAATCTGGGAGCTACAGGGGGCAGTGCCTGCAGATGGTAACATCTAGCAGACTCTAATCAGATTACCCTGATGGGCTGCATGTGACCTGCAGGTCTTGGATTGCCATCTCTGAACTGAATTTGCAGCTGGTCAGCGTTTTGCCAATATGGAATATTTCAGATATTGTGCTTGAAATTACACACAAAAAAATGAGGCACAGAAAAGGAATAACATTGGAAAGGGACTAAATTATGCCATTTTGATAATTTGCTTATATGAAATGTACATGGCTGTTTTACAGAACCAAAGCTGTGCTCATGGTAAGGTTACCATGCATTTTGGAAGACTCTGTGTCCATGGAGCTGGAAGTGCCTTGGTTTCATTCTCGGCACATTTTTAAACTTAG